TTTTGCAACCCCACAATACTGCAACATGTTGTATCATCTTCCATACATGACATAGCCATATCGGATCACTCTCCAATTTCTATTACTATAAATTTTCTAGATCCTACACCACATCCTAGGATATGGTGCTTCCCCTCGTTTCTGGCGAATAATCAGGAGCTTTCCCGGCAGTTACAAGACACCTGGGCAGATTTCCAAACTACTAATGCGGCCCATGTTTCCAATCCAAATTTATTTTGGGATACGGGGAAGGCGGTATTACGTGGCAAAATTATCGCCTTTACGTCCGCTTATAAAAAAAGAATTCTGCATAATTTCACTGAGGCTAGTAACCTTCTTAGACTGACTCAAAGAAGGATGACGGATTCAAATACGCAGGACAATAGGAAGGCTTGGGCGGATGCTAAAAAACCAGTTCAACACATGGGCGGCAGCTCAGGAAACACTTCATCACTCATACCTTGACTTACAGTATCACAGGTTTGGTAACAAACCAGGCAAACTTCTGGCGCGCCTGTGTAGGAAGCCTTTTACCCCCACGCAATTCACCTCTCTAAAAGATTCTCAGGGGTTACTTAAACAATCTCTGGAAGAGATTATATCTATTCTGGAAAGTTTTTACGCAAATTTATATGGGCCGGATCCTATAGACCAGGCACGAGCACACTCTCATTTCTTGAAAGTGTTAATCTACCACAAATAGATCCAATAGCACTGCAATCTCTAAATGCCCCTATATCAAAGCGGATATTTGTCTAGCTATTAGTTCTCTAGCCAATGGTAAAGCTCCAGGCCCGGACGGGTACACCTCTGAATTTTATAAACTTATGGCTAAAACCCTCTCTCCTACTTTACAGTTGGTATATCAGTCCATCCAGGAGAGTGGGGTGTATCTCCCATCAGCTTCGCAAGCCCACATTAAACTAATAGCCAAAAAAGGCAAAGACCCTTCGGACCCTGGTTCTTATCGTCCGATTTCTCTCCTTAATCTAGATGCAAAGATCCTTTCCAAAATCATAGCTAACCGCTTGGCCATTATTTTACCCTCTCTTATTCATCCTTCTCAAGCGGGTTTTATAAAGGGGCGCTCTCGGCCACGTCAAATATCCGCAAAGTGCTCACAGTTCTACATCAGGCTAAAAATAACCCATTACAGGATCTAGCGATTATTTCCCTCAACGCTGAAAAAGCTTTTGACAATGTTAGTTTTCAATGGCTTCATTCAGTCCTCTCTAAATTTGGCTTTTCCGGTCCATTTACGCATCTAATTCAGGTAGTATTATGGCTCAGGTAGTAGCGGGGGAAAAATATCCAACCCATACCATTACATAAGGGAACAAGACAAGGCTGTCCACTGTCCCCCCTGCTTTTCAACTTAGCTTTAGAACCCCTAGCTTCTTGTTGTTTCAGTCACAACGTCATGGCATTCAAATTGCCCAACAAGATCTTCGCCTAGCTTTATTTGCGGACGACATATTAATATTCACTTCCAACCCGACTCTAGATTTACCGTACATTCAGTCTGTTTTCGCAGATTTTCGGTGTTGCTCGGGTCTCCGTATTAATTTTGCGAAAAGTGAGGTTCTCCCCCTATATCACGCTAGACTTCCTGAATGGGCTGGCAAATCACTTTTCAAAATGAATACAAACCATATTACTTATCTAGGTATTAAAATTGGGAAATTAGCTTCATCCCTTTATTCTCTTAACTACTCGCCAGTAATACAAAAAATTTTAGGGGAATTAGAAATGTGGAATGAACTGCAGTTATCACTTATGGGTAGAGCCCACCTCTTCAAGATGACGAGTTTTCCAAAGCTTTTATATCCTCTCCAAACTATCCCTCTCCTGCTCAAACATACGGATATAGTCAGGTTGAACAAAGCGATTTCCATTTTCTTATGGAGGGGGCGCCGTCCGCGTATAGCTATATATAAGTTGTTTCTCCCTAGATGTGAGGGCAGTCTGGGCCTTCCCAACATTAGACTCTATAATCTATCTTGCATTTTACGGGTATGTATAGATTGGATCTCCCGATCGTCCATGTTTTCCAATTACCAACTCGAATCTGCCATGGTGAGTCCGTTTGATCTGTCGGCCCTTTTACATTCTAATTCCAACTCACTTCCTCCACATCTTAAACATAATCCACTCATACGGGATACGCTATTCACATGGAGGGAGGTCAGACGTAGACTAGGAGTTTCTCCCTGGTTGTCTCGTTTTCTCCCTATTCATCACAATCCTTCCTTTTCTGTCTCTCAACATAATGCAGCTTATGAAAAGTGGTATAACCAGGGTATTAGACTTGTAAGTCAATTGTATGACTCTGCATCAGGATCTCCCCTTCCGTTCCAACAGATTCTTAGCTCGTTTGCTTTGCCTTCCCACCATTTTTTGTATATCTTGCAAGTTAGGAATTATGTGAATTCCATAGCGCAAAACAAGTCCACTCGCTTCTGCTCGACTATGATAGAAGTCCTTGTAAGGAATCAAAAATACAACATATCCAATATATATGGTCAACTGTCTATGCACTACGCAAAACCGTTGGAATCCTATACTTCCATCAAATCGTGGATACGGGACTTTGACAATGCTTTCACCGCGGAGCAAATACTCACAGGTTTTAACACTACCTGTGCGTTCAATACGAATGAATTTTAGAGGGAGCAGCAATTCAAAATTATGCATCATGCTTATATGCCTTGCCTGTACTCACGAGCAGACTCAATGATCTCTACATGTCCGCTCTGTGGTTCATACAAGCCGTCACTTCACCACAGGTTCTGGAATTGCCCATTGGTCTCTACCTTCTGGAACCAACTTTTGAACTTTGTGCTTTTCATCACTACTCTCTCCCGTTACCTAGAGACCCGCTGCTTCTTCTTTTTGGCAACTTGGAAGTTTCAGTGTCTGCTGCCCCACACCGTCATCTTGCTTTGTTCAGAGCAGCCAAACCATGGCTATCCATTTGCTTGATGGCGGCGAGAAGGTCTATTTTTTAAAAAAAATGGGTCTCCAACTGTCCGCCTACCATCTCAGATGTCAAAATGGAACTCAACTTCCTACTTCGATTGGATCGGCTCAGCATGCATATCGCTCCTTCCACATCAGGAGTGGAAAAGTTCAACCGCAAGTGGGGTCAATATGTCTCAAAAGTACTCCCTACCTTGGAGCCCCAGCACCCCTCTCATGGTTTTCTAAACTAGTCATAAGATAGTTTCTAGGGTATTCCTGATGCATTGTGTTATTATCGTTTAAGGGGACAATTGATTGCTAAATTACTAGTGCTGTGTTCTTCTTAGAAATTTCCTTTACTATTTTTTACGATCTGCCCTCCTTCCACTTTGGCGCTCTGGCCTATTATTTCTCTCTCTCTTCTCCTTGCTGACTCTTCGTGAAGTGTTCCCCTACTAGCCCACCTTCATACATACTGATGCGCTGCTTCCCACTATACCATACTATCCTATTACTCTATCAGTTTATTACCTTTTTGTCCTAATTTCTATATCCTGGTATGTTTTCTTGGTCTTCTGGCCTCAGACTTCTGGCACATAACCTCTTGTCCTCCATTTCTCCCTCTTTCCTTCCCTGTTGGCATATTCTTTTATATGCTGGTTCTTTCAGCTCCTTGCTCCTATTTTCCTACTGCTCTATCTCTACCTTATGTCCTCATTTTTTTCTTTCACTTCTTAATCTTATGCACGATGACCTCCCTCTTGGTCGTTAGGACAAATGGTCAACATTGCTTACATCGCTTATCCTATTTGCTCATACCTACGAATATATATACGTGATTTTTCCAAATCCTGCATATTTTACCTTTAAGCCTTTGTACCCTGATACATTACACCATGTCTATTTTCTCATAAGAAAACTCTTATCTTTCCAAATTTCTCTAATCCCTCTTTGTTTCTTTCGGGGCTTTTGCAACATGTTTATGAGTAAAATTGTCATCCTGGAATTTATTCACCTGACTTGGCATGTTGCCACGCTACGACTACTGACATATTTCATCGTTGGTTAACGTGTGTGTACAATAAAACCCAATAAAGTTTTTTTTTAAAAAAAAAAAAAAAATGTGCTTCTAGTGTGAGGCTAAGAGCTTGTTGGTTTCCTATGCCTTGCTAGTGCTTTGCACTTTTCATAGTGTTCTACCCCCTCCACGATACCACAGCAGACTAGGCTGCCCATTGCACCTGCTTTTTGGCAGGAGTTTCTTAAATATGTTCTGCTTTTTTTTTCTGTTTATTTTTCTACCCAGTTCTGCGATATTACCTAGTCACTGTAAGCCAAGAACCGGTTACCTTTGAAGATCAACCAAAGGGCGTTGTAGTAACGAAGACAAGTATCTGGACGATCTTTCAACCTCTCTCCAGCATATGATGCGACAGACGACCTTTCCCACTCAAGATGGCAGCACCAGGACACAAACACCTTGGCCTATCAGGCACCACCTTACATCGCTCTATATTATATATTTTTTCGTAGCCACTCCTCAGCAAACATTTGAACTTTGAATTTTAAACTTCTAATAAAGAACCATTGAAATTAAAACCTCTGTCTCGCTACAGGAACAAGGTAAAAAAGTTTAAAATGAATTCTAGGGCATATCCTAAAGTTGGAAAGGGTTTAGAAGTAAATTTGTACAGTACAGAACACAGCAGAAACTTCTCCAATTTAGACATGGTCACTGACTAAAAACTTGTATGAAGTCATCTGAAGGTAAGGGGAGAGAAACTATGTTTTGACTCATTTAGTGTAAACTTCAGGGATTTTTTTCCTAACAAAGCAAATAGGAAAAGCCAAGCAAAAATGAGAAACCACCATGAAGAATATTAAATATTATTATATGTAAATCATTTTAAACGTTCTATCAATTCACACTCCCAAAGAACTTCAGATCCTCAAACATAAGACTTGTTGTTGGTTAATGGAAAAATTTCTGTGGAAAAAATATTTACAAACGAAAAAAATTACAAGTTGTAATACCTTATCTTTTAGTTCACAAACTTCCCGATTATGTATCCTCTCCATTTGTTCCTGCAGTTGTTCAAGGCAAATCTTCTGTTGTTGTTTTACATTTTCGCACTCCACATTTATGCTTTCCAGCAAGTGATTTTTAAGTTCAACTTCCCGATTTAGAGAATATTTCTCCTGTTCCAAATTCTGTAATGAAAGTCCAATATAAAGTAAAAATTATAATCATAAAAAAAAAAAGGTACACATGCTGTATGAAAATCTAGGTAAAGTCAGTGACAAACATGGTGAATGGTTTCACCAGGACATTGGGAAAACGGTATTAGGGCAACCGGAATCCGCCAATACTGGCTGACTATTGCTGACTGCAGCGAGATGCACAAGATGCCGAGTACAAATGAAAATCAGCAGCAAAAACACTTTTAGCGCTGTTGAGCTCATTCAGCATGTCAGAGACATGCTTTAAACCACCTCCCGTCCGGCCCATGTATATAAACAGCCGGACGGTGGCAGTGCAGGGTCGGTGGCCGTTTATTGACGGCCTCCCCGCACCCTACTTGTGCGCGCTCCATGGGAGCGTGCAGCACCGCGATCCGGTGCCTGCTGTGTCCTCCGGACACAGTGGCACACCGATCATCGGACGGGACCTCTGTGCGAGGTCCCGATCATGTGATCACTGATTGGCCAACCAGTGATCACATGCAGATTAGTAAGCAAGATGTCACTTGTGACACATTGCTTAATACGTGTGAAATCAGTGAATGATCACAGAGGTCACATGGTACAAGGCTATTCACAACAGCTTTGTACCATGTGACAAGCTGTGACAAATCACAGCTCACACAGTAGTTCTCAATGGCTGCAAGAATGCAGCCAGAGAGGAGAAATTATTGCTTTTATAGCCTTTATGGGTGTAAAAGCAATCAGTGTAAAAAAAATAAAAGAAAAACAAAAATCTTCACCACCCCGCACAAGTAGTACAGTGTCACCATGGTGACACTGTACTGCTAAGGTGACAGTATGAAAAAAAAAAAAAAAAAAGTTTAAAAATTTTTGGTTATAAACTAATTTTTTACTAAAAAAGATAACGGAATAAATTTTGGCCAAGATTTATGATGAAATACTATTTATTTGCAAAATTTTTGGACATTTTCATTTACATAGCAAAAAAAAAAAAAATCCCAGTGGTGAATAAATACCACCAAAATAAAGCTTTATCTGTCTCAAAAAAATGCTAAAAAATTCATATGGGTACAGTGTTGCATGACCACGAAATTGTCTATCAAAGTGTGAAAGCTGAAAATTGGCCTGGACAGGAAGGGGGTAAAAGTGTCCGGACTGGAAGTGGTTAAGAATAGCTCCATTTAGATATGATTAACCCTTTAGCAGCATCTCACCAAAACGGAAATTTTTGTTGCAAAGAATTCCTAAAATCTGACTTGTATTTTAGTGCAGACTTCTGGGAGAATCAGTGAGCCAATCCCACACACAAGCAGGAAATTACATCTCTGGAAGATTTCAGTACACCAACTGTGTACAGAATGCCTCCAGGTTGCTATATTGCATTTAATTTTACAAAAAAATTACAGAACTGCAGTTTGAAAAGGAAAGGTAATTTTTACCACCAAGAAATTACAATATGGCTTGTGTTGTAATTGTATATGGTATATTTTTTATTTGAAATATTTTCCCCAACAAAGTGGTGCTACCCTTTAAACACATTCTAGTCATTAAAAGTTAATTTCATAGTTCTCAAAATTCCTATGTGATACAACCATTCTGAAATTAGTTTCAGGTTTAATTTGAACGAGTCTTTCATAATCCAAGAGTTTTTCAGGAATCAAAATGTTTGAAAAAAAAAAAATTGTTGTCCAGAGTCGAACAGTGAATTCTTGAAGTCTTGCGTTGCTTTGTTACAAGGGCCCTTTCACACAGGCTTTTGATCAGGTCTCTCAGTTTTTCAGGCAGACCTGATTGGAATCTCCATGCAGCTTCCTATGAACAGAGTGTTATCCATTTACGCATGCATAAAAGTGTATAAAAGTGGCCACCCGCCCAAGTCTATAACTGGCTTATGAAGCAAGGACACAAACAGGCATCACATAGTGAAAAAAGAGGGAGAGAACAATGTTCTTGACAACTTGCCAGCCAGCTTGCTAACAACCGAATTAACCTGTCTAACAGTATGCGTTTATAACAGGGGTTTAGTTAGCACACATTTGCAAATACATACGTAAGCCACAGAGCCCACGACACGGCACCCTGATCATCTGTGGTCCTAACTCTAAAATTTGTGAGTCCCCATAGTAGAGGCACATGCATTTAATGGATAGATCAAGGGCAGGTGGACCTGTTATCCATTTACACCCACCTATCTCCAAGTCCATCTAGGACCGGGGAAAAAAAAAAAAAAAAAAAAAAAAAAAAAACCTGTATCTTTTTTCGTTTTTATGAACCTAAAAACGTGACAGATCGGAGTAGCCTTATGCCAATAGACAGCAGTGCAGTGACTTATTTTGAATAAACTGCATGGAAGATTTGAGTCTGGCACATGTATGCTTTCCTAGGAATTCTTTCGTCAATGCGCACAGACGTGTGACTGTGCCAGCATCTGTGGTGGAGAAGTGGGACTGTATGGAGACCTACAGCAGAGCATTATGGGATTGTAAATTGTGTCCTATGAACTACAGCACACCTCCGGCTACAGAGATGACAGGGAGGCCTGAGTCCACGGATATTAAAAACAATGCAATACCTATAAAGATAATATATTTTCTCAACAGCTTAAGCATAAGCAGAACAATTCCATTAAACCACTCGATATTCCTACAAATCTCAGTATTTAAACTAAAGTAACAAACCAAAAACAGTTTTATCTTAAATTGTACAGTACAGGACTTGTATTCATAAACCATGGATTATATACAGGTTACTTTCAGGTCATTTGGTGCTGGCAATAATGTGCTAGGGCTGCCCACTCTGAGACTCCAGGTTTTTTTTTTTTTTGTGCCCTTAAGTGATGGACCCGTTTCCCTTTGGAGAAACATTTTTCTCTTTAAACCATTAAATGTTTCTCTGACATTTCTGTTATGATTTGACTGCTTACTGCCTTGGGCTATCTAGTAGTTTCCAGATCAGTACCCTTTGTTGTTACCTTGGTGACCACACCCAGAGTCCACTGTGTGGGACTGGCCTGCAATGTCTGCTTCAGGGTACTGAATCTTGCATTAGGAGCTCAAGTTGGCATGAAAAGCCACATGAAGTTAGCTGCTGGGTGCTATACAGGTCCAGGGCCAAGGTGCATTTCTATGGCTCCCCTTTGGAGGTATGCCCATCATGACAGGCAAAGCCTGGACCCTTATGAATCCCAAATGGATAACCTAAGACAAGGGTTTTCTTGTATGTTGGCACTGCTTCCTGGCTGATAAGACAACCTGTAATGCTTAAAACACATCATGGTTCTATAGGCAGGGAAATTGGGAGTTATTCACTTTCTTGTGGTACCCTGTGATATTATTTCTCAAGCTGGCAACACAACACATGGCTAACACATTTCTGCCTGCTATATCTGCTGAAAAACACACAAACAACACGTTGCTGTTTTCCTTCTGCTACAGAGATAATGCCACAGGAACACAATTAACACCTGGGTATAGTGGCTTTTGTATTTCGACATGCAAAACCCATCCAATCTGCACTCAATTTTCCTCTGGGGAGCCCCTCACTTAGCTATGGTGGATCACAGATGCAAGAGAGCTGGGACAAAAGAGCCGAATAAAATGCATTCTGCATATGGCCTACAGTATACTAGTTACAATGCTTAGGGCGATTGCTGCGGTACAAGGTAACAGCTATGTACTATTATAACAATGCTCCCCATATCTGACTCTAGGTTCCTTTCAAGTGCACACCATGTAACCTGTCTGACAAAGCAGTGTTCCCTGCCACTAGTTGGAATATTTTGAAAAACGTTCAGCACTTCTATAACCATCATTTTCCAGATTTCTCATAAATGGAGTGTGCAGTACATGAGGATTGGCCTAATCCTAAAATGATATTCACTCTTCCTAAGCGTTTTGTGAAGATTTACCCTATGGAAAAAGAATTTAAGAAAAAAATGGATGTTCCGGTAGTAGATTCTGTAATTTCAGTCCTCAAACACCTTTCAGTTCCTTTTGAGGATGTCCCCACTTTTAGGGATTTTGTTAATAGGCATTTTGAGAATTAGAAAATACCTCCCATACAGATTCACTCTACAGATGGACGCAAATGGCTGTTTCTTCAGAATAACAAAAAGGTACTAATCTGCAACAAAATTTGTTATTATTCCTTCAATGTAAATAGATCACCCAGAGGGGAATGTTTTATTCTCAACAAAAGAGGAGTAACTCTTTAGGAGAATGTAATAAACCAAGAATGTCTATAGAATGTCCCTTATCTCTGTGCATATGTACAGAATTCTGTGGCTAAAGTTTGATCTGCTGAATCTGCTTGTAAGAAGCATCTTCTATGTATGCCTTTTGATAGTGAACTCTTACCTGGAGAATCCCAAGAAAAATTCATCAATTAAGTCACTGGGGAATGGTGCTCTTACCCCACAAAAAAAGCTCAAGTCTCCTAGTACCTATACTCAGCGAAAGAGAATAAAGGCATCAACCTCAAAACGAAGACTTAACATTTCCTTTCGTTGCAAGCCCTGGGCTCCTAAGTCCACCAAGCCTGCCCAGAAGTCCTCTTCACAATGAAGGGGAGTCCCCAACCTTATCCACTGTGCAGTGATGGATTTTAAAGCAGGGTTCCCCTTGCGAGAGGAGAGAACAAAACAAGAAATCCATTTTTCTGAAGGAAGCAGTAGCTTTGAGGTATACTCTAATTGCTCTATGTTCAAGCAATGTAGAGACAATTCCTTTGGATGCTTAGGAGCAGGGCAGTACAATGTCTTCATTGAGGTGGAAAGCTTAAACCACTTTTGGAAGAAATGATGATCTTGGGAGTAAAACAACCTTGTTTTTATGAATTATGAAAGAAAAGTTTTCACAGGAAAGAGCCGCTAGCTGAGAAACACATCTCACAGACTTGATAGCTACCAAAAAGGCTACTTTGCTGGGAAGAGCCTATAGGGCAGTTTCCCTGGTGGGTTCAAAGGGTGGTCAATGCAAGGCAGAGAGAAGTAAATTAAGGTACCAGGA